CAAATGAGCAGCATGTATAGAGGCATGTAATAGAGAAACAATGGGAAAGTTTTCTGCTAACTTTAGTTTTCAGGTATAACTTTGTTTTGTTACATGTTTCTTTTATTACTTTTAGGGTCGTGGTTTTGGAAAGTAGGCCAACTGATAACCCCACGGCAAACAGCAATTTGTACATCCTGGCGGGTCATGAAAACAGTTACTGAAATGTATTTTACTTTGACAATTAACTATAGAGAAAACAAACACTACCACTGCAACATTAATGGATGCTTGAAGCTGTACAAAAGCTGCAGAAACTTGGCTTTATTTACTTATAATTTATTGTGGCATGAGACAAGATGGGGAAATTTTTTGTTTTAAATGGTATGGATATATTTAGCATATTGAACCACACAAGTGCTTAATTTGTTGTTATGTAATCTTTGTACATACAGGCAGTATTTTTCTGTGAAACTTCATATTGCTAAAGACATACACTAAGAATTTATGTAGATAATGTACTTTTATGAAGATGTACAAGTGTCTTATCTGTACAAATGTAAATGTTGATGAAAATGTTATTGGGGTTAATGTTTTAAGTATTCTTTAGTTTATTCTTGGGTGTGGTTATATCACAAAATGGGATGCTGGCAATGAAACTACTTTAGCACTATTGTATTTTTTATTGTATGTATTTAGTAATATGAATATAAATCTTGTAACTTTTAAAATTGTAATGGAGGCTGTAATCATTTTATAATCTTGTTTTTAATTTTAATGCAAGTACACTGGTGTTTATATTTGCACAAAGTATTGAGATGTGATACATTGAGTCACAAAAGTAAGCTGTGACATTGTCAATATGCATTTGGCTCCACTATATCTTTTTAAATGTATTTGGATTGTTTTCTATATGAAAAAAAACAATTAACCACCTGTTGTAGTAACTGAGCTTTTTGTATTTAAGCAGAAATCCTGTACGATTGCTTGTCTTTGCTTTAAAATGTCTTTGAAAAATTTTTAAATCACAGAATAGCGGTACCATGATGTAACACTGCAGTTGTCTGAATTACAGTATGCACAAAAAATAAATTAGCATTATTAAAGAGTCCACACTAGACATTTCATATAATCACATTGAGGAACTATAACATTCCATAGAGTGAAGTGGTTCAAATTTCTAGTGGAATTTTTTACTTTTGTTTGCCTTATTTTGTGATTACTTTCATATTTCTTTTGATTTAGAGTATTAACACATGGCCAAAATAATTTAGTTACTACCTCATACAAACAATATAATGGTTACACATCACAGGAACTTAGTTTTGGTTAAAGTCATTTTTGATTCCTTTTTTGCAATGGAATATGTATAAACCAAGTTTAGCAAATGCACATTTTTGGCTCTTTTTGGTATATGTTCTTTATATTTTAATGTGAGTACACACTAAGAACAAACTAAATTGTGGTTTATGGTCTTCATTTATTTTAATTGATAATGATTTTAAATATGTTCCTGATTGTACATAGTATAAAATAAACATGTTTTTTAATACACTGTTGTATAGTAGCTTGTCATCTGGCTTAATCTGTACATAGTGACACTAAAATATGTTAAGGAAAAAAAACTCCTTAAGTACTTAATTCTGGCCCCTCAAGTCATTTGCGATCTCAATTTCATGAAACAATAATATTCCCCTATTTGAGGAAAGAGCATCTTTTTTATTGGGGGGGGGTACCGGGGATCGAACTTGGGACCTTGTGCTTGGGAGGCAGGCGCCAGAACCACTGAGCTAAATCCCCGGCCCTATCTTTTGTAGAATCTTTAACTTCTGATCCTGAACATCAATTAAATATAGTGTTTTAGTTACAGCAGGAATCGGCAAACTGCAGTTCTCAATCCAGTCCCACCGACTGCAAGTTTCTGTAAAAGCTTTGCTGTAGCACAGTACCACAGATGGCTTCAATTGTGCTACAGTGTTAGGGTTTCAAAGAAAGTCTAAGCCTGCAAAGCCTAAAATTCTTACTATCTGACCCTTTTCAGAAAATAAATTGCCATTACCTGAGTTAGAAACAAGAGGGAAGGGTGTTAGGAAATGCATTTCTGGAAGTAAGGAATGAAAAGAATAGGAAACTGGATTGGGCGGTTAGGAGGCAATTTCAACCATTTCTTAGGCCACTACCTGTTGCTAAGACCTTCAGTCTTTTATGTGAACTTAAGACAGTTTCCATGTCTAAAATTGTAAAGATGCTAATAATCATAGCAATTGAGTATATTGCTTTTCCCAAGCATTGTGAATAATCTTAATAGCTAGTAACTTTTAAAAAAATCTTTACTAATATAAAATTATCATCATTTTGCTGAAAAAAATGTTTCATGGAAAAGATTTTCAAGAAATTAAGATTCTATTCCTAGCATTTATAGTTAAGGTTGTTCATCCTTTTTCTGGACCATTATATCCAAGTCCTTTAAGTTATTCAAAGGGCCATCCTATCTGAAAAAGGATTAATCATCTCATTTAACTGTCAAGCACCTAGAAATATTTTCAAAAAATAAAATATACAACTTGTTGCATATTTACCATGAGTTTTTTAAGAATCTCACATCATAATCTTTGGGGGTAATGAATACCCAGTAACCTTGATTTTTATAAAATTGTGAAAATTATTCTGATATGCACCCTAGCAAGAAAACCCTGATGGAGATTAAATCAGTGTTTCTGAATGTGGTCCAGAGATCACCTGTTCAGAGAGCTTCATCTTGAATGCCAGTTAAAAATGCAGATTTTTAGCCAGGCACCTTGGAGCTTGCCTAGAATCTTGGCTACTCGAGGCTGAGGCAGGACAATCATGAGTTCAAAGCCAACCTGAGCAATACAGCAAGACTCAAAAGAAGAAACATTTCTAGTTTCCTCCTAAGAACTTTTGATTATGAATCTTTATGCCCTCAAAAGGAGGAAACAATCTAGTTCATCTTATTGAAGTTCAAGCTATCTCTTATTAGCTACTTATGTAGATACTATAAGAGGAAAGATCAACTTTATGGCCTTGTGGCATTGTTCAGTGTGCACACATCTCTGATTTCAGTAGAGACCAGGAAAAGGACAGATAGGTTATATCAGTTTTCACCATTATTAGCAGAGGTGAAAGTATATGCTGTACAAGATAATGGGCAAGGGCTGGGGATTTACCTCAGTGGTGCCACTGCCCACCTCGCAAGCGCAAGGTCCTGAGTTCAATCCCTGGTACCGCAAAAAATAATAATAATGGGTAAGCACTGCATGTATTGTTAATTTCATTTTACAGATAAACTGAGGCACAGAGATTCCCCAGGCCCATAATGGTAACTGCCAAAGCAAGAATTTGAACTAGGCACTTAGTTCAAAGTGCATTCTCATAACCATAGCCAGTGGTGGCGAACCTATACCACATATACTGCAGCCAGCTTCATTGAAAGCTCTAAAAGGTTCACCATTGCTGTGCTGGCTGGACTTACACGGAATACATGCAGGATATTCACTATCTACTAAAGTATTTAAACATTTTTGCCTCTGAAATTAGATCTTTTTCTCCAGTTGGATTGCAAATAATGATTTTTACTGTCCTTGTAATAAAACAAAAGTTTTGTTTTAATTTTTTGCTTTATCAAAAGGACTTTTTTATTTTAAATATTTTTTGCATTAAGTAAAATTAACTTTACAGTTGAAGCTTGTTAAATAAGCCTAGTCAAAACTTACTACAAGAGCTTTTTTTCTTTATTTTCAGAGGTAATTACTTAACATATACTGATTATTTACAGCCTACCCAGGCACTTTACTGCCACTGGAGAAAAGGTTGACAAGACATAATTCCTAGCCTTGGATTAATAAAGGTAAGTGGCAGTGAGTAGTATCAAAAAGAAGTACAAAAAGTTGTGCATGATTCTGCTTTGGGATAGGAAAACCTTTGCGTAGAAAGATATGTAAATCATGCTGTTGATAGACGGAGAGTAGTTCCTCCCATGCAGGAGAAAAGCAGAGTAGGAAGCTGTAAGCCTAGATGTATGATAAACACTGTGGGTTCAAGGAATAGTGACATTAAATGCAATTGAGCTTAGGGTACATGGGGCAGATGAGCTGATTGTAAAGAGCTTCCTCATTAAAAAGTACCCAGGACCGGGGATTTAGCTCAGTTGTTCCACCACCTGCCTTGAAAGCGGAAGGTCTGGAGTTCGATCCCTGGTACCAAAAAAAAAAAAAAAAAAAAGCCAGGAGTCAGGCATTGCAAAAACTGCAGAGATCAAGTACTGTGAAAATGAAAACGTGTGGTTTGTCTATAATGTGATTAGTTACTCATACATTTAATGAGGTTTTTATGGCACGAAGAGAGGAGAAACCATATAGAAGCAGGTAGATGTACGTTTAGGATTAGACTTCAGTTTTAAGTGGAAGTGTATTTGGTCTTTATGGAGGAAGAAGATAAAAGTTGTTTCGGGTTTGAAACTGCTACAAATGGAAATTTTGAGCATTATTTCTGGGCAAATAAAGGAAATGGAGAGGAACTGAGGTGGATAAGAAAGAGAGAAGAGACACTTGTGAGGGAAGAGGGAAGTTTGGACATCCTATATCTGGCCAGGATGGAGAGCATTTTTTTTTTTTTTTGATGCTTAAAGTACCTGTATGTTCATGAACAAAGCTTTTTTAGTCTTGGGAACAAACTAATGCTTCAACAAAAATTAGCTCTCCTGAGGCTGAAACGTTTATCACGTTATTTGCTGGACTTTCTTCCCCACTGGATGACAAAACTGTCTTATTCTGAATCAGCCCCCAGATACTTATAATACTCGCCAGATTATGAAAATGGCATTAAGGAACCACAGCTAATGGATAGCTGTTTGTCTTAGAAAGTTGGCCGAAAAGTGTGTCCACAATAAATCAAGACCAAAAGTAATGACTATTGGCAAAGAATCTTGCAAACTGATGATCTGCCCAGGCCGGGAAGCGGACTGGTTAATATTCTACATCTATGTGTGCTTCATTTGCCTGCTCTTGATGCCTTAGGAAGGACGAGACTGAGTGTTAAGTAGTTATAAATGTTTCCAAGGCGCCTTCATCTTTCTTGTTGCTGCGTCCACACCCTGACGTTGCAAGCTCCGCCCAGAGGTGACCCAAGGTGCTGACGAACGCAGTTACGGGCACGCGGGAACAGTCGGGAAAGCCGCCTGAGCGTCCTGGTTGTCAGGGCGACGCGGCGGCGGCTCCGCTCACTTGGGAGTTGCCGCGTCTCCGGCTGCGGCTTGGAGAGCCCCGTACGGTCCGGGTTTGTCCGCCTCTCAAGCCTACAGGGTAAGTACGGGTTCCGGCGACGCGCGGACGGGAGCGGGGTCGGCCGGGGGCGTCTGTGGAGAGGGGGCGGGGTCTGGGTGGAGACGATCGGATCTACGAGGGGAGACCGAAAAGTTCCAGGCCACGAAGGAGCCGGCCTGCGTTCCCCTTGGGTGCCTGTGGAGGGCGCACGACGCGGTGGGGCGAGGGTAAGGAGTGACAGGGCTCCTCCGGCCTCGGGACCTCGGGTGCCGGTCCCAACCTGCTTGAGTCTGAAGTGTGCATTGGTAATTTCCAGTTCCTATTACCGCAGTATAGGTCACAAGTTGAAAATCAATTTTTATGATTTAAGCCAAACTAAAAAGATGACAGAAACAATTCCAGCTTCCCTTGGATGAGGAAAAACAAAGCAGCTTTAATGTTTGGATCATTTTGGCAAAGATACAGGACTCCCAAAGGAAAGTGAAAACTAAGTGGGCTGTGGGAAGAGGGGAGGTGACAGCGGTGGCGCGGGTGGACAAGGCCACAGCGGGGGCTGGGGCACCCCTGTGGGTCAGGAGAGCAGCTGCGGGTGGGTATAGAAAGTGTCACTCAACGGATGCTCAAGAGTAGCAGCCTGAAAACAAAGTGGATTTATGCCAGACTTCCAGAATTTTTATGTGTACACATGAAATATGATTTCTAATAAAATTAAGTAGATTATGTAAATTATGTCATCCTCTAGTTTTCTGAAGATGATTTAAATTAATCCAATCATATTGTCACCAAAATAAGTTTATAAGGAGGTACGTGTTCTTTTGAAATGCACCAATTCAATGTTGTTTATGACTGATCTGAATAATAGACCATTTTCCCGATCAATTTTATGAAATATAAATGTGTATTTGGTTTCATTGGAAACACGAAGAATGGTAATTTAGCGTTGTGACTTAGAGCCTGTGGACACTCTAACCTGTCTGGCCTGGTCCTGGAAAGCTCTCCTTCCTCCAGCATTCCTAATGCCACTGTTTACAGAGTTTTCTGGAACATTTTAGGTTAGGAAAAAACTTTTCCACTCTTTCTGTACTCCTCACTTCCTCTCCTTGTCTTAATTTGGTGTACACTTTAGGCTTACTTAATTCCCCAGGACTTGATTTGTGACACAGTCACGCAAAATAATCCACCTCCAAGTGTTTTCTATGTACATCATTTTGCAAATCCTTAAGACTAATTAATTAGAAATTAAAATTTTCCAGTGAGCTTAATGAGCTGTTAAAGTATCTATCCATCTACCATCTTTTTTATAATCACCAGTGGATTCAAGTCTATACCTATCTTTGCTTTTGTACACAGCATTTCATTAAACTGACACTAATTCGTCTATGTCTACTATTTCCTCCTCATGATTACATTCAAGCTTTGCATTTTTGTCAAAATTAATACAAAGGAGATATTATTTCCCCGTGGCATGTTTGTCTTTTCTACAAATTTCATGTATATGGAATCATACAATATTCTCTAAATTCAAGACATCCTGTAGCCAAAAGGTGTATATGTAACTTCAGTTTGAAGGTCACTGAGAACTATGAAAAATATTTTCAACCAGTTGCATCTATTTCCTGCCAGTAGCTACATCACTGTTTAATCTTGATTTCCTACCCAAGTACTGTATTAATTCTCAGAATGTATTTATTGCCCTTGCTTTAAAAAAGGAAGTCATTTTAGAGCTGGAATGTGGCTCAATGGTCGAGTGCTTGCCTCACATGCGCCAGACCATGGATTTGATCCCCAACACCACAAAGTAAAAAAATAAAAGGCACTTTATCTGTGCAGTGGAAAGGGTTAGAAAACGAAAGTACAGTATGATCTCAAGAGAAACCTGCTGTGTGCCAGATAATGAACTAACAATACAAGTCCTGTGTAATAAATAATTTTTCAAAAAAGGGCAGGGGAAAGTTGTTGGCACAGCGCTGGTGCAGAGCCTGCCTCGGAGGCAGGATTGGGGAAAGCTCCTCAGATAAGACATTTGGAGTCCAGCAGTAAAAGATGAGGATTTCAGGGTCAAACATTCTAGGCAGTGGTATAAGCAGAGCTCAGAGACTTGAAAACAGGGAAGAATCTGAGAGACAAGGCTAGAAAGCTAAATCGGGGCCACAGTGGAAAGGATTATAAATATGGTACTACAGTTTATACTTTATTCTGTGACCTGAGAGACCATGAGACATTTTTGAGGAAGGATGATCTCTTGTCATCTTATGTAATGTTGATAAAGATGGTTTTGGTGTAATGGATGTAGATGTAAAGAACAAAAGTTAGAAATGACACTTTAAAATACCTTTATTCTGACATAACTTTAAATGTACTAAAATTCCCACATATCTAGGTTCATTAATTGTTTATAGTTTGCTCCATCTGTTTTCTCATGTCATCATTCTCAGCTGTACTCTTTCCCTTCCTCTATATGTATATGGATATGTGTATGCATACATGTACATATATATGTATGTTAATCATTCTGAATCATTTGAAAATAAGTTGTAGTACATATCATGTCCCTTTTGCCATTAAATACTTCAGCACTTATTTCTTAAGAATTAGGACTTTTTTTTACATAACCACAGTATAAATTACCAAAATCAAGATATTTAACCTTTTAAATATATGTAGCATTTAGATTTTGCCAGTTATCCCGGTATTATTCTTTATCATTATTTTCTCCCATTCCAAAACCCAATTCAGGATCTCCCATTGCATTTTTTGTTTTGTTTTGGGGTTTTGTTTTGTTTTGTTTTTTAGTACGGGGGATTGAACTCAGGACCTTGCACTTTCGAGGCAGGCATCAGAACCACTGAGCTAAATCCCCGGCCCCTCCCATTACATTTTGTGTTTGCCTCCTTTAATCTGAAAAAGTGCTTTTGATTTTGTCTTTCATGACCTTGACATTTTTTTAGTACAAGCCAGTAATTTAGAGAATGCCACTCAATTCATCTATGTCTACTGTTTCCTCATAATTATATTCAAGCTTTGCATTTTTGCATTTTTTTGGTCAAAAATAGTACAAAGGAAATGCTATGTCCCCAGTAGCATATTTGCATTTTCTACAAATTTCACGTGTTGTATATAGAATCATACAATATGGTTTGCATATATGTGTCTGGATTCTGTCACTTAGCATTATGTTATAGGGTTTTTTGGTTTTGTTTTCTCTTTCAAAAAAATCTGTCCACATTATAGCAGTATAGCATGTATGTTCGTTCCTTTTTATTGTTGAATATTTCATTGCATGAATAGTCCACATTTTGTTTATCCATTCATCAGTTGATGGACATATATGCTGGAGACTCCTGTAGTCAGGTTCCAGTACCCACCTGCCCAGTGTGCAATGCAGGCCTGAGAAATAAACACACTAAGAGACAGAACTAAGAGAGAGATAGTGGGATTCCAGGATGACCAATGCCGGTGTAACTGACAAAGGTGCTAGCCAGGCCCAGGCACTAACTTTTATTGGCACTCAATTGGGGTAAAGGCAATATGTGATTTGCATGGAAATTAATGTAAACAAGGCTCATAAAGGACAAGACAAAGCATTCTCAAATTAGGAACAGAATAGACAAAATATATGATTGCAATTAGAACATTGTCCTTCTAGTCTAAAGGTTTAGTTGTAGGAATGGAATTTGGGTGTGAGTTACTCTGACCTTGTCATGTAGACTTCAGCCAGTTACTTCTATAAACAAGCCAATTGTGGGGTTAACTCTTCACAGACTGCTTTGGGCATAATCAATATTACAGTCCTCTGCATGTATAGATTGTCATACAAATATTACTACGTTGAACATTTGCCTATATGTCTTTGTATAGATAGTTTTTACTTTTTCCTGGGTAGGTACTAAGGAGTGGAATTGCTATTCATGTTTAACTTTTTTTTTGTACTGGGGATTGAACTCAGGTCCTTACGCTTGCAAGGCAGGTGGCAGAACCACTGAGCTAAATCCCCAGCCCTCATATTTAACTTTTAAGACACTGCCAAACTCTTTTTCAATGGAACTCTGCTGCTTTTCAATCCTACAGGTAGCTGTCTCACACAGCTTGTTCACTTATTGATTTTTTTTTCTTATGAATATCCAGTTGTTCTAGAAGCATTTGTTGAAAGACTTCTGTCCTCATTGAATTGCTTTGACCCCTTCATCAGAAGACAGTTGACCATTGCTAAGATTTGAATGTTTGTCCCCTCCAAAATCATGTTGAAATTTAATTACCATTGTGGCAAAGGTGAGAGGTAGGACTCTCAGAAGCAGTAAGGCCATTAGGTCTCCATTCTTGTGTGGGGGATAGGTGCCATTCTAAAGAGGTGAGACTTCCCCTCCATACACACACACCCTTTCATCTCCTGGCATGTATTTGGCACTATGAGAAAGCCCTCATCAGACATGGGTGCCTTGGTATTGGCCTTCCCAGACTCCAGAACTGTGAACCAGTAAGTTTCTGTTCATTATTTATGGCAGCATAAAATGGACTAAAACAACCAAAAGTAAAGGTGTTCATTTTTTGACTCATTGTTATGTTTCATTGATATATATGTCTAAAAGCCAGGTATGTATGGTTGTGCACACCTGTAATCACAGCTACTCAGGAGGCTGAGTCAGGAGGATCAAGAGTTGAAGGACAGGGCCAGGGATTTAGCTCAGTGGTCCCGCCACCTGCCTCACAAGCACAAGGTCCTGAGTTCAATCTCTGGTACCAAGAAAGAAAAAAAAAGTTCAAGGACAGCCTGGGCAATATCATGATACTCGGTCTCAAAAAAAAAGCCGGATATATATCACTGTGTCTGTTTTTATACCAATACCAAACACTTATGCTCTTCTTGATTTGCCATAAATGTAAAATTTGTAGTCCTATAATGTAAATTTCAAGTTTGTTTCTTTTTTCCAAAGTTATTTTGGCTCTTTAAGATCCTGTGTATTTCCATTATAAATCTTAGGTTCATCTTGTCCATTTATATTTTTTTAAAACCCTATTGGGATTTTTATAAGGATTGAATTTTAACTATAGAAGAATTATAGAAAACATCTTGTTGAGTTTTTCCAAACCACAAACATGGAGTTTTTCTTTTATTTAGATCTTCTTTAATTTATCTGTGATATTTTGTAGTTTTAAGTAACAGGTCTTGCACATTGCTTGTTAAACTTTATTCTTTTTGTATTGTGAGTAGAATTATTTCCTTAATTGTATTCGCAAATTAGTTGTTGCCATATTTATACATATAATTTATTATATACTGATCTTGCAGCCTATTGCATTGCAAAGTTGGTCATTAGTTCTAATATTTTTTGTAAATGCATTAATATTTTCTACATACAGCATCGAATCATTTCCAAATAGTGACACCTCTACTTTTTGTTTCCAATCTACATACCTTCCGTTTCTTTTGTTGCCTTATTGCACTAGCAAGCACTTCCAATACAGTGTTAAACAAATGATGAGAGCAAACATCCTTTTCCCAGTGTTGGGGGTAAAGCAATCTTTCCTTTTTAAGCCTGAGATTTTTCACAGAAGCCCTTGAGGAAATTCTGTTCCTCTGTTTCTAGTTTGTTGAGATATTTATCGTAAATGAATGTTAGGTTTTGTCAAATGCTTTTGTGTGTGCTACGAGATTATTGTGTAATGTTTTTTATTCTGTTCATAGGATATGTTATAATATTTTTAAATATTAAACCAATCCTGCATTTTTTTAGATAAAAACCCGTAGTCATGGTATATCATCTTTTTTTTTTTTTTGTACCGGATATCGAACTTGGGTCCTTGTGCTTGTGAGGCAGGCATTGGAACTGCTGAGCTAAATCCCCAGCCCAATATCGTCTTTTTATATGTTTCTGAATTTGTTCTGCTAATTATTTTCTGGGCATCATTATAGTTACATTCATGAAAATAATGACTGTGTGATTTTGTGTGTGTGTGTGTATGTATGTGTGTGCATATATATATATATATATATCCCTAGTACTGCAGATTGGACCCAGGGACTTGGACATGCTAGGCAAGTACTCTACCACTAAGCCTCATCCCCCCAGGTCTTTCCTTTTTTTTGAGTCAGAGTCTTGCTAAATTCCCCACACTTACTCTCCTGCCTCACCTCCCAAATAAAGGGATTACAGGCATGTGCAATCACACTGGCTGATTTTTTGGTATTTTGTTTGATTTCTTAGAATGATATTAGCACCATAGAATAAAGTGAGAAGTGTTCCCTCTTCTATTTTTTGGAACAGTTTGTGAAGGATTCGTATTAATTAATCTTTGAATATTTGGTAGAAGTTACCAATAAAGCCATCTAATCCTAGACTTTCTTTGTGGGTAGGTTTTTAATTACTAATCCAGTTTTTTTTCTCATTATAGTATAGTCCAATTTTCTGTTCTTCTTGAGTCCATTCTGTGTCTTTCTAGGCATTTATCCAACCAGCTTGACTAGCAACTTGGTTGCATTAGGTTGTTTGTAATGTTGTTTTAAAAGTTTTTGAAAATTTCTGTAAAGTAGTCCTAATTGTGTTATTTTTTTTTTTTTTTGCTCAGTCTGTTCTGAACCTTTAGACCAATTTTGTTGGTCTTTTCAAAGAACCAATTTTTGTGTATTTTTCTCTTCTATGGTTTTTTTTGATGAAGAGTCAAGCTAATAAGTATATTATTCCCTTGTATGTGAATGGTGTTTTCGAGATTTTCTCCTTGTCTGGTTTTCAGCAATTTGACTATGATTTACCAAGATAAGAATCTCTTTATTTGTCCTACTTAGAATTTATTGAGCTTTTTTAATATGTAGATTAATGTTTTCCATTAAATTTGGGAAGTTTTAGCCATTATTTCTTCAAATATTTTTGCCTTCTCTCATTCTTTTCTTTCTGAGAATCTTACTATGTATATGTTGGCACTACTGATTTTTGTCCCACAAGTCTGAGGTTTTGTTCATCTTCAGTCTCTTCTCTCTCAGGTTAGTCATTTTGAAAAACCTAAAGACTGAGCATTTTAGATAATTTCTTAATCATGGAAGAATTTGCAGGTTCTTCTATTTTGAGGGGTTTTGTCTTGGAAGATCCCAAACTTACTTTCCTTGTTTCTTTTTCCCTTTACTCTCCAGTCTCCAGTGGATGCCTCAACTTCCCCTCTTAGCCTTCTCTTCCCCAAGGATGACGCCACACTAACTGATGCTGCCCTAATACACATGTATTTATGATGTATCTATTTCCCCTTCATTCTTCCTAACAGTTCGTCCCACTCTCACCCCATTCCTGTCTTGGCTCTGTACAAAGACTTACAATGGCGTCTCTTCCAGAATTTGGGCTTTACTTTTCTATTTAAGTGTGTAGAGTCCACTTTTGGTTATAGTGAAGGCATCAGATTTATGTGGATTTATTTGTCTTGGCTGATTTGTATAGCTTTATAGAAGATACATGAAGAAATTAGATTTAGTCAACAGCCATTATCCTTGATTACCTTCAAATTCCTCTCCACAGGTATCTTGACAAGTCCTTTAGGTGTAATGTAGAATAAGTTTGTAAACCTTGTGTAGGAGTAGAGGATAAGAAAATAGAGAAAGCTTTTGGTTTAGAATACACTAATTTTGAGATAAGTCTTCCCATTCCTGTAGAGATGTTCATCAAATAGTTGGATGGTTGTTCTGGATTTTAGGTAAGAGATTAGGAATTGCTGCTTCTAGAAACTGGTAGACCCTAGTAACCTGGAACTAGAGCCATAGATACTTTGTGGAAGTTCATCTTCCATGAACATATAAGAGGTTTAGAGAGAAAGTATTTCAAGATTACCTGGTAAAGCACTGTTCCTGAAGCTTTATTTTATTATATTCAGCACTTTGGTTGATATGACTGGGTGATCTAGGTAATCTGAAGAATCAGTCATTATCAAACCTGTTGGAAAAATTAAATAGATCAGTAGATGAAATAACTACCTACAAGGAAATAATACATAGACTAAAATTTCATAATTATGTTTTGTGTTATGTTCATAGTTTCCCCAGTAACCATAGTGCTTATCAAGTAGGTTAAACTCATAAGTCTGTAAAGTTCTATAACCAATAACTTTCTGAAGCAAATTTCTAGTTTGTCCTTTTTTTTTTTTTTTTTTTTGTACCAGGGATTGAACTTGAAACCTTGCACTTGCAAGGCAGGAAGGGGAATCACTGAGCTAAATCCCTGGCCCTTTTTCCTAATCCTTTTGTTTGCTTTTTGTTTTAGTACCGGGAATCGAACTTGGGTCCTTGTGATTGCGAGGCAGGGGGCAGAACTACTGAGCTAAATCCCCGGCCCTTTTTCCTATTCTTTTTAAAGCCACATATTACTGTGGTAAAGAAAGACAAATGTATGCATACTTATTTGTAAATACCTTTAAGATAAAAATAGGTAAAAATACAGTATAATCTGTGACAGATTTTATGTTACTTGTGTGTGTATGCTTGAATTTTCTCCCTTTAATAAGGACTAGAATCCACTTTAAAAATCACAAAGCAATCCGTCCCGCCACTCCTGGCCCAGAGGAAAGGGCTTTTGGGCCACTATCCATCCCACCATTCCCGGCCCAGAGGTAGGGGCTTCTGAGCTGCCATCCCACTGCTCCTGGTCCAGAGGAAGGGGCTTCTGGGCCACCATCCCTCCCGCCCCTCCCAGCCCAGAGGAAAGGGCTTCCGGGCCACCATCCCTCCTGCCACTCCCGGCCCCTGTCCCATCTCTCCCAGCTCAGAGGAGGTGAGCTGTGTGGGTGCCAACAGCAACCCCCCGCCCCCCCCCCAGTCAAAATGAGAAGACATGTAAATAAGTCTCAAAAACAGACTTCCAGATCACCTACAGCAACCCCAAAGGGAAATGAG